CTTTACACTTTCCACGGAACAGAAACTAAAGTAACCTATTATACAATTAGTCACAAATACAGTCCTTGAGTTTTTTGCCCATACACATGAGTATAGTCTAAAACATGTCTTCTTTGTAGCAGCTAGGCCCTGCCACCATTGTGCTTGGCTGAGTTCACAAATCTGTTGTAACCTGTAGCTTTCCTGTCACTTCTCTGGCTCTCCTCTCCTGCTAAGCTTTGTTTTCTGGAAGTGATTAAAACCTTCTGCCATAGCTACTGCTGCTGCTGGAACTGCCACAGCCACCTTAGTTTCATGGTTTGGCAAAGTATTGGACTCCACCCCCATAGGGGCCAGAGCTTCTGCCTCCAAAGTTTCCTCCTTTCATGGGTCCAAAATTTGAGAACTGATTGTTAAGATTGCCAAAATCGTTGTAGCTTCCACCACCTCCAAAATTGCTTCCATCATTACCAAATCCATTATAGCCATCCCCACTGCCACCATATCCTCCACTGCCACACCTGCCACCAAAGCCACCTCGACCACTGAAGTTTCCTCCACGACCAAAGTTGTCATTCCCACCAAAACCACCTCCTTGACCACCACTGATGTTTCCAGAACCACTTTGACCTCTTTGACTGGATGAAGCACTGGCCATCTCTTGCTTAGATAGGGCTTTCCTTACTTCACAGTTGTGACCATTCACAGGATGGTAATTCTGAATGACAGTCTTGTCTACAGAGTCATGGTCATCAAAGGTTACAAAAGCAAAGCCTCTCTTCTTGCCACTGCCTCGGTCAGTCATGATTTCAATCACTTCAATTTTCCCATACTGTTCAAAATAATCTCTTAGGTGATGTTCTTCAGTGTCTTCTTTAATACCACCACCAAAAATCTTTTTCACAGTTAAGTGGGCTCCAGGTCTTTGAGGATCTTCCCTTGAGACAGCCCTCTTTGGTTCTACAACTCTTCCATCCACCTTGCGTGGCCTTGCCTTCATGGCTGCATCCACCTCCTCCACAGTGGCACAGGTGACAAACCCAAAGCTTCTGGAGCGCTTGGTGTTTGGGTCTCTCATCACCACACAGTCTGTGAGCATTCCTCATTGCTCAGAATGGCTCCTCAGACTCTCATCTGTTGTTTCAAAGCTCAAACCTCCGATGAAGAGCTTCCGCAGCTGTTCAGGCTCTTTGGGAGACTCTGACTTAGACATGACGACCGCAGGAAGGGAGACTTAATGATGCTTACTCGGAGGTGTCCACTGACAGAAAGCTCAGAATTGGGTTTTGAACCTCAGTTAAGGAAAAGCTAACTCACAGAACAGGTCAGAGTTCAAGCTCTAACTGTATGACTCTAGGCGGCTCATGTAGCATGTTTAGGATTCATTTCTTTCATCTTCAAAATGTGGGTGACAGATGTGCCTGCCTCCTCATCAATATGAAGACTGAATAAAATTATACGCTGTAAAAACCCTTTGCATATAAATAGTGAATAAATGTTTAGATCGGTTTTATTGAGATGATTAGTAATAATTCCAAAGCCTTGGTTCCTTCAGTTAAGGAAACCACTGAAGTTAATCTCATGTGTGGATAATAAGTTATACTCTGAATCTAAAATAAACTGTTGTAAGAGGTGATTTAGAACTGAAAATAAAAACTTAACAAGGCTCCCATTAATGAGTTACTCAAATATTACCTACCCTTTCCACAAGATGTTCATTTTATCTCACTGCCATGCCTTTTTTTAAAGCTTTTTATTGATGTACATGAGTAGAAAATTACATATACTCATATCTCAAATGTAAAGCTCAGTGGGTTTTCACAAACTGAACACATCCATGTAACTAACTTTCCAATCGAGTTTATCCCATGATTTAATCACCTGGAAAATATTTCAGATTGACCAACTGAGGTTGGAGTCAAGCGACCCAGATTCTAATCTTGGCTCCAATACGAATGCACCATTTGACTTTAGGTTCTTCCCTGCACCCTTTCTGTGATAATGTTCCTCATCTGGAAACAAAGAGCAACACATCCCTCTCCTGTCACAGCACAGTTCCAGGGCTGTACTGCAGACAACCGAATCCCTCCTCCTAAATCTCCCTCTCCTTTGGTTTCCATGACTGAAACTTCATGAATCTTATCCAATCACCCTAGATCATTGCTTAGCTTCTGCCCATCCCTTGAATGCAGGCATTGCTCCAGGTTCCACCCTCACCGCAGCGTTCTCCACTTTGCACCTTTTCATTCAATGCTCCTTGCCTGGTCCATTTCATGTGATCATTTTCATGCCATGGCTCTCAAGTATAAGTCCCAGCCCTGACTGTCCTTCCCAGCTCCAGTCCAAGATTTTCCACTGCCTGCTGTATATCTCCATTTCAAGTCCTGGATCCATTTCAAGTCCTATCTCTATTTCAAATCAAAGTTAGTCAACAAAGAGGATTCACCTTTCCTCCTAAAACCTTCTCCCAAATTTATAGTCTCTATTTAGATGACCACTTTGTGGCCCGGGTAAGAAATTTTGGAATTATCCATTTTCTCTGGCTTACTTGTCATGCCTTTATCCTACCATCAGAACGTCCTTTGAAATACCCCTTTTCCCCAATTCCTCCCCCACTTCTCTAATTCACTTCTTCATTTCCTGCCTACCTTATTCCAAGAGTTTCCTGACTGGCCTGCTAGTCATCAGCCTCATCTGTGCAATCCATCTCCCATTCTCTAATGGACTTATTTTCCTAAATATATATCAGATCGTGGCAGTCCTTTGCTTTAGTCATGTTACATAAGAGGTAGAATAAAACCAAATTTCTTAGACTGACAACCTGACTCCTTTCCAGAACTAACCACCATGGAATAGGTCCATACAAACTGCATTCGAGTCTAGAATGTTCACTATTCCTGCACTGTAACACCATGCTTTTGTTTCTAATTTTCTGCCTCTCCTTTACTCACTAAAGCAATATGTCTCCTTCAAAGCAAACTGAAATTCCTTCCCTGATCCTCACACAATAAATCACTCCATTTCAGAAACCACGGCTTAAATAAAAAACCAAAAAACATTAGAACTTAAAAGTAACACTACTTTGGGCCGGCCGAGTGGCGCGTTGGTTAGGAGTTGGCTTGGGACACCAGCTCTGAGCAACATGGCCCCGGTTCAGATCCCACATGAGGGCCAGTGACACTGCGCCCTCTACAGCTAAGATGGTGAACAACAGCTCGACCTGGAGTTTG